ATGAACTCAGCCACAGGAAGAGGGGAACAGCTTCTGGGCTGCTCCTGCTCCTCTCCGCACTGGGGGCCTCCACTTGGAGTCACCTCCTTTCCCACCTTAGACTCATTAAAACATTGCTGCAACCCTGCCTGTGTCCCTTAGGTGGTCTTTCCATCTGCAGACTGAGTGCTGAGGGAGAAAGGCATTGCTGTGCGGGAGGAATTATGCGGGGGAACAGGGAAGCCATCATCCCTCCTCGAGCCATTGGAGGGTGGGACCCACTGCAGTGAGTCCTCTTTCCGGCCCTGCCTCATGAACCTGGGGAAGACAAGCCCAGTTACTCCACAGCCAGCGGCCATCAGGCCTTGCCTTGCTGCACCTCTGCTCACAAATACCTCCTTGGCCCTGGAACACGGCATGTGCACAGGAATCCTGACAAGTGCTGTCCTCCAGAGAGGAACCATGGGCTTGTGGGAGGCCGCAAGGAGGTCAGCAGTCCCCCAAGCTCTGGGGGAAGAGTGCTCCTCTGGCTTTGGCTGGAGCTGTGCTGTTCAAGGAGGCTCATGAGAAGACATTTCCAAAGGATGGCAGCAATTGGCAATGGGTACATAGCCTTGGGGATGGCCCACGGTCACTACTCCACCTGTCCCTCCTCTCCATCACCTGATTTAGGGGCCATTATCAGCACGCCGGGACATGGGCAGATGGGCCAGCTTACCATGCAATGGGCTTTGATTCTGAACTCTGCAGGATCCGTGAGCTGCCTTGGAATGGCACAGGGCACGCACCAGCCCCACCAGAGAGCACCCGCTGGAGTGCCTTCCCCCAGGCACCAAGCTCCTTCAGCATTCCCAGAACCCTGGGGCTGAAGTGGCCTTTGTGCTCTCTGCAGCACCGCTGCTCCCCACACACAGGCCAGGGTCTTCCCACATCTGCAGACTCTGGGACCTGGTGGTATGGGCCTTTGCCCTCCCATGGACTCCACACGTGGCCAGCACCACAGGACCAGGGCAAGGACAGGGTCATTCCTGCATGGGCTGAGGATGGGGGGCCCCTCTTCCGCCAGGTTCTCTTGTGTTGGAATCAGTGCTGAATCAGGTGGTAACACAGGGACAATGAGCATCAGGACCAAGCCCACCTAGACCCCATGCAACCCTGGATCCCAGCTCTGGCTTGGCCCCTGGCCCAAGGTCTCTGTGAGAGCTCAGGCCTAGCACAGGCCTGCCCTGGCTCTGCCATATTGGGGCTCTTGGGAGTCCAGCCTTGGCCTGGGCCTCAGCCCCACCTCTGACCCTAGGACTGAGACCTTCTACACATAACATATTCTGTTGCCTACACTCTGGAAATAACCAGTTGCTGCTTCTAGGGTAGAATTCTCTCCTGCCTAAGATAGAAGTCTGAGATGGACCAGCTCACTTTTCTTTCTCAGCAGAGCCCTACGTCAGGGAAATAATTCGAGTTGTTTACCGGAGCAACTGGTTCCCTGGGGCCATACTTCCCCAAGAGCAGTAAGGACGGTGGTGAAGACGCAGCCTCATAACCAGCCTGGAGAGCACTGGCAG